GAGGATCGAGGATCACAAGATGAAGCGACTCAGAGGGAAGGAGATACATTTGGTGAGAGTGGCTTGGGGAGGTGCTGCAGGGGGCAGTGTGACCTGGGAATTGGAAAGCAGGATGCGGGAAGCGTATCCATAATCGTTTCCATCAGGTATTTTCGAGGACGAAAATAATTAAAGTGGGGGAGAGTTGTAACACCCATTTCAATTATCTCGTTTTTCCGTGTTATTTTAGTTTGGCATGTTTTGTGGGGGTGTTTGAGTGCGATTGTGTGTAGCTCTTCAGTTGGAATTAATTAATAATTTTGGACTTTAAGACTAATAATAAAATTATTAGTGGTAATGATAATTAAATGAGTAATAGTAATATTATTAGTATTATTACTATTAATATTATTATTATTGTTAATATTATTATTATTGTTAATATTATTATTATTATTATTATTAATATTATTATTATGTAATAAAAAGGAATTGGAATAAAAAGAATTGGGATGAAGGGTATTTGGGGAATGTTGGAAAGAAGGAGAAGAAGAAACACATTCAAGGAAGAGAAAAAATTGGAGAGGAAGATCAAGGTCAAATTGGAACAAGCTTGAAGAGGAGAATCAAGGAGGAAGAAGGAGAGCTTGAATTTTGGAGTCTTCTTCAGTTTAATCAAGCATTCGAGGTAAGGGGGGGGGGGGGGGGGGGGGGAGAATCGGTTAAAATTTGGTATTGCATGAATACTAGGTAGAAAGGGGATTTCCCTAACCCCATTAGGTTGTGATGATTTTGTTGATATGTGTTATGAATTATGAGTTTGATGCTAATATGTTGAATCCATTGCATGTGTTGTTTGCTCGGTTTAGGGGTTTCTGGGTAGTTCGAAGTTTTATGCCGGAACTGAATGAAATGAGTAGAGCTGACATTTAATCGGGTTAAATCGAGAATGGATTCTGTAGTTAAGTTGTAGATTATTGGTCTGATGTTGTGGGAGCTAGTTTGAGTAGAATCGGTGGAGTTCGGAGAGTTTTGCTGACTTTGAGTAGTGGAAGTTTTCTTAAATCTCAGACGCTCGCCAGCTGCTTCGCTGAGCGAGCTAGTAGCGAACCTTCGCTAGGGATTCGCTGGGCGAACTGGGTAGCGAGTGCTTCCAGTAGCCACTGTCTGGCTTCGCTAGGGAGTTCGCTGAGCGAGCATGTAGCGAGTGTTCGCTAATGCTTCGCCTAGCGAGTGAGCCAGCGAGCATGACAGTATGTTGTGTTTTTGATGTTGTTCTGTTCTGTGCTATAGTGTTATTGGACCCTTGTTGATTATGATTGATTATGGGAATGATGTTGGTTTGTGGAGAGAGTGTGTATGGGATTGGAAGATGATTTCCTTGATTATTCGTGTGATTATAATATTTACATTGAGGTGTATCATGTTTGTATGATGAATGAATGTGGTGATGTGATATATATATATATATATATATATATATATATATATATATATATATATATATATATATATATATATATATATATATATATATATATATATATATATATATATATATATATATATATATATATATATATATATATATATATATATATATATATATATATATATATATATATATATATATATATATATATATATATATATATATATATATATATATATATATATATATGATGTGTGACGAAATGTGATCGGATGGATCGTGTACACTTAGTGTATTTGATGTTGTGTGTTGTGCATTGGGGTTACGCATAACATGGTGTTATGAGGTGCTTCTGTGTGGAGGGTGATGACCAGGTGTCCATCGGTGATTGTGAGGGATAGATCACGTCTCAGGGGAGCGTAAGTGACCTATCCTATTTATGATGTGCTCTTGTGTGGAGGGTGATGGCCTAGTGCCCATCGGTGATGATGATATGTTCCTTCGGGTAAGGGTGATGGCCAGGTGCCCATCAGTGTTGTTGTTGAGTTGGTATCGCATATCATGGGTTGAGTTGCATGTGTTGCATTGTCTTATATGCTATGTTGGTGTGGGACAGTAGGTTCGGGTCGATGTATGTGAATGACAATTGTGTGACTTACTGCCTTTTATTCATGTACATTATTACCGTTGTAATTTGATCGTGATTTCTCACCCCTTTGCTATTGTTGTGGTCTGTGCTTCTTCGGAAGTACAGATAATCCAGGTGCATAGCTAGCTTGGATTATGTCGAGTCAAGTCGTAGGGATGCTCTGATACGTAACACCGGGGCTTTTGGGAGTTTATTGTTTATTTGATGATTTTGTGTATCCCTGTGGCGTATCATGTCTGTTGAATCTTTTGGGTGAATATATCTTGTATATTTTGGGCATTGGCCGTACATGGTGTATATGACGTTTATGTATATGATGTGAATATATGTACATGTGTCTATATGACAAATTTTCGCTGTTTAATTATTGAAAACCGTTTAATGAAAATGTTTGGAGGAGTTTCTTCTGTGAATCCCGTTGTGTTTGTGATGACTCTGATATTTGTTTATTTTAATTGCATTTATTTTGTATTTGGGGAGCGGGGTGTTACAGTAGCTGTATGGCGTGAATCCTAGATTGTGGAATTTATTGTTAATTGTGGCGTTTTGGCAAATTATATACATTCTTTAAATTAAATATGAATGCATGATAATTGTGATAGAGTTTGTTGCCGTTTAGGTGGTAAAGCGATGCTCGTTGCCGTTTGGCGTAATTGATGTGATTGTGTATATCAATTGTATGTGATAGTATGAGATGAATGCATGAATATGTATGCATTTCAAGAGTGTCTTGAGTCATTTTGCATGTGAAGCATAATGATGTGCATTCTTGTGCTGTGGGATTCTAATGAGAATCCGTTGTAACATCGTGTGCCTATGTGAGGTGTGAGCGATGATTACAAACGATTGTGTGTCTATGTGAGGTGTGAGCAATCGGATTGTGTGCCTATGTGAAGTGTGAGCAATCCATAAACATTGTGTGCCTATGTGAGGTGTGAGCAATGGGTGAACATCGTGTGCCTATGTGAGGTGTGAGTCATGGTTCTAATAAGTTCCTGAGTGAACTTGAGATGATTGCGTCGGTACCACATTGCATTTGCATAGAGTCGTGAGTCGGTCTCTATGATTTGCATTTATCATCTTTATAATGGTGCATTGGTGAATAAACATGAATGTGTATGTTTATATGGAATGATAAAATTGTGGTGCATTGATGAATATGCTTGGATATATATATATATATATATATATATATATATATATATATATATATATATATATATATATATATATATATATATATATATATATATATATATATATATATATATATATATATATATATATATATATATATATATATATATATATATATATATATATATATATACATTGTGATGTATATGAGTGTGTTGTGATGAATTGTGGTGAGAATGCAGAATATGTGTATTTTATGCTATGATATATATAATTATATGCATTGTTGTTATGATAATATTTCTCAACATTCTGCTATTTTATGGTGCTCTATGAGGCATTGCAGAGTAGGTATGCTGGAGGTCTTTTTGTGAAGCGTGTCTTCATTCTTTTGGTCGGTTGACTCTGATATGTAGCACCGGGTAGCTAGGTTGTTCATGATTCTTTTGTGATACATTTGTATATGTATCTTATTGGCGAATGTTTATGAAAATATGACTTATGTTGTTGAGTAATTCTGGATGATGTATATATGTATATATGTTTGATGTTATTCAATGTTTAGATTTTCCGCTTTTATTCTAAATATTGAGATGTGGGTGTAAGGACTAAGTTCCTCTATTGCATGTCTTTTGTTGAGCAGGTGTTGTATGTTTTGATTTCATGCGTAATGTGACTCGCCCTTTTATACCATGTTTATAATTATACTCTGATGAAATTTTTAATATGTGACTAATTGATTATGTGATTATTTTGGGGTATAGAAAGGGGGTGTTACAAGAATTCTATTGCAGATAGGAGAAACAAGCATATCGAGATGATGTTTCACTACTTGCAAGATCTTGTTAGTGAAGAAAGGTTAAGATTGGGGTAATGTAGAAGTGAAAACCAAGTGGCTGATTTGCTGGTCAAATGAGTCTCGGTTGAAGTGTTCTAGTAATTAAAGAAACATATAAGTATAAAAGACTTGGAGGACTTGAATTAAGATGGTGTGTTTAGAAAATAGTATAATTCAAGTCAGTGCAACATGTTGCTGGTTTATGTCAACATATTATGCAATGTAGTATTTTAGTTAAAAACTCACTCAATAGATAAGTGCAACTCATTAACATAATATGTGAATCGATTACACCTGAGAGTATTCAGTTTTTTTTTTTAAATTATACCACATATGTATTGTTGTATATATACCCTTTTGATATCTTATGAATGAAGTAATGCTCATATTTTCACCCTCAATTATTATTCTTTCTCTTTCTCTCCCCCTCTCCCTCTCCACACACAATTATTCATCATTTTGACCTATCTTCCCCCTCTCCCTCTCTACACACAATTATTCATCATTTTGGCCTATCTTATAATTTCAAGTTCCAACACTAAAAACAAAAACTCATTTAAATAAACCCTAAGTTTTTCTTCCTTCAATATTAGATTGAAGAATCTATTAGATACAACATTTCTCATTAGAAATGCTTTTAACTTGTCTTCTTAAAACACAAGTTAACACATTTGTCCCAGAAACAAATGTAGCTCTACCAATATTTGCCTCCTAATCCTAGTAGCTCTCTCCTTAATGAGAAAATTTATTAAAGGTCCCACAGTTTTCAGCTGTCTTCTCTATTATTTGCCAATTGGGTGAAAGTAATGGAAGACAAAATTGATTATGGTCCCAAAGCTTTAACTACTCCCACGCCTTCCATGAGTCAGCTAAGACAGAATCATTTGTCTATAAATTGCTTCATGCAAAAAAATATATTATAACACCACACAAAGCTAATAAGCTCATCAGAATCAAGACCTAGAATGTCTTCTGGTAAGTTTGCTCCATTGGCTTTCCTTTTGCTGGCTGCGTTTTGTATGTATTTTAAGTATTTTTCTACTTTTCTTTAAACTCCTTATAAACTAATTATATTTCTAACTTTAATTAGTTTTTTTCTTCATTTTAGTGATGTTTCCTATGAAGAAGGTGGAATCAAGATACTGTAGTCCTGTTACATGTTACACGGACAGGAGTGGAGATTGTCTATTTGGTTGCGTATGTTATCCCTCTTTTTTCGGAAATGTGGGTTCCTGTCAGCCTTATGTATCAGTCGCAAAGATGGTTGAAGATCATCCTAATTTATGTAAGTCTGATGATGAATGCACTAAGAAAGGAAGTGGGAGCTTTTGCGCTCGTTATCCTGATTCTAATATGGAATATGGAAGGTGTTTTTCCTCTAAGTTTCAGGCAGAAGTTTTCTTTGTCAAGATGATCTCTAACTCTCAATTCTCAAAAGACTTGTTGAAGACGTCTGTCACTGCATGATATTGATATCTAAAAAAAACTAGCATGTATCATGTATGATATGATGCATCTACTGCCTTAAATAAACATGTTTATATCCAATTGATCAACTGGATTTCTTAAATATCCATTTGGATTTCAATAAATGATGTGTGTATTGGTGTGACAATTATGTATTTTTTCTATTTGCATATAAAATATATGACTAATTCATGCATGCTTCTCTAATTATTCCCATTTATATTTTATTACTATCATTGTCCCATTGTTTAAAATCATTTTGATATGACATACAGCATAGAAACATAGTTGTGCGAATGGTATTTGTTTGTGACAAAACATGATAAAAGTCTTGAAAGAGAAGAAACGCATAACTTTTTGATATATATTGTATTAGAAATACTGTATTATAAAGAGAAGAGTGAAAATTGCAATTGCTTATATAGAGTTGGCAAATGATTCCTAAATAGTGTAGCTTACTAGCAAGATTGTAGATTTTAAATGTTCCCATGCGAATTATTACATCTTGTGGAACTTTTATAAAACATATCACTATTAGAAAAATACTGTTTTCCTGCGGATTTGAACTAAAACTCCGCAGAAACTATTTCCTGCGGTTTTACCTACCGTTTCTGGTTTTCAGCTAGAATATTTTCAGAAGGAAGATCCGCAAGTAAACTTGTAGGATTCAAACCCGCAAGTAAATCCACGGCTGAGGTGTTTCGAAATTGAAAAAAGAAACTAAATTTAATTGATAAATTGAGATCGTAATTTTTCTATACAATAATTTAATGTTAATTCTCTTAATTTAAAAGAATATGGCTCCCTTTCACAGTGTATATGTATTGCTGCTATTAAAAAATATTAACAATGAAATTATGTTATGGATATTGGTATAGATAGGGACCAACTCTAATTAAAGAATAATAGATGTTAACGATCTTAGTTTAAAACTCAACATATGAAAATCACATGATCGGAGTATAGAAATAACATCCCTAACACACCCTTAACCACCTATGACCTGAAAAGTTGTGACAGCGTCAACAATTCTACCAGCTTTAACATAGCTAGCGAAAATCGAAGCAAATGTTGACCATGAAAGCAAACCTTTTTTTCCGCATAGATTTAACAGCGTCCCAAATTGCAGCAAATGTTGACCATGAAAGCAATCTGCATCATAACTTGAAAATTGCATTGTTACCCATACCAGGTTTAAAAAACATTCAAGAACAACTCAATATTCAAACAGTTATATAGTATTTGAAAGATTGTAAAGATTTTTTAAGCATATGCAACGATACCGCAACTGAAGTTTCAACCACATACTAAGGATGAACCTTATTCATCTCCACCTAAAGGTCATAGACCTATAAGGATTGTGAAAAGTAGAGAGAATATCTTTGAGGCATATGCAATGACACCGCAGTTGGGGTTTCAACCACATCAACCACAAATTATGAAGTATAGATGTGAAAAATAGAGAGAAGATATGTATACCTCAAATTTGCAAAGAACCTTCAACACTCACTTGTGAAGCTCCACACTCGCTAGTACTTTGAATCCATATCTAGTAAATTGTCTAATCAACTCTTGTAGATACAATGTTGAACTTAGGATCAAAGACATTGATATCGTGCACAACGATATCCTTGTTGCACAAGAAAACACAATAAAAATTACTAACTATCAGTCGGTCAGGTCTAACCCAGTCCCGCGATGGAGAGGCCCAACAAGGTCCAATCCTTCCATGTCAGGCACACACCTCAACAAGGCACCTCAGTCGGACAGATCATTGTCTTGCACGGGGAGAACTCACGCGCTTTTCCCACGGGCTCCACATGCCCCCCACGCGGGGACACATCATCAAGCAACTACCCACCTTCAAAAGAGTCGGTAAACCCACCTTCAAAGATCACGAGGCAGTTGATACAGAGCGAAGACCACGTGCTGGTCTTCCCTACGCCACGTAAGCCCTGGCAGTTACTTATGTTGGACTTGACAATTCAACTCAATGCAATGTAACCGTTGGTCCTGCATTGCAAGCTCATTATAAATAACCTCTTTTACTAGGGGGTTAAGTATCTTATTCTCCACACATATTTTCTCTGTACTGGCTCTTTTTAAACTCTGTTACTCACTTAAGTATCGGAGTACCTTACAGGCATACCCCATCCTCCTCTACAATGCTGGTGAACACAGAAGTTCACCACACGTAGCAGGCTACTGATTCATTTCTGATCAGGTGAGATCAGTCACGTGCTGGTCTTCCCTACGCCACGTAAGCCCTGACATTTACTTGTGTTGGACTTGACAATTTGGCTCAATGCAATGTAACCGTTGGCCCTGCGCTAGGGGCTCATTATAAATACCCTCTTTCACTAGAGGGTCAGATATCTTATTCTCCATACATATTCTCTTTGTATTTGCTCTTTCTAAACTTCATTACTCACTTAAGCATCGGAGTACCTCGCAGGTGCACCCCCTCCTCCTCTATAACGCCGGTGAACATAGAAGCTCACGATGCGTGGCAGACTACTGATTTCTTTTTTATCAGGTGAGATCAGTGGCGCCGTCTGTGAGAAACCTTTGCTCCCTGGATCTTTCTCCTATCCAAACATAGAAGTTCAAGAACTAAAGCAACTTTCAAATTCCATTCTGATCATGGTCAGTCCACGCGACGATAATGCTCCGGAAACCGCCTTCGTCCCTTTCACCAACGGGGATGACCACGACTCCAACGTGACTATTCGCAATAACGTGGGCGATTATAGGGACGGGTGCACTGCCTCTCCTTCCTCGGAAGACGCAACCTTCAATGTTGTCCGGTGCTTCGGTAGCCTGACTGTCTACCAGCCCACCCCGGTGCCAGCAGACGCCAACCTTACCATGGTGGCTATGTTCGCAACGATTAACCAGACGAACCTGATGATCTTTCAACAGAGCAAGAGAATAAGGATGCTCGAGAGGGAGCGACCATCATGCTCTACCCCGCGGAGACATCGTCGCCTAGTTTCCAGCAACCCCTTTCCTCCCGCGATGAGGACGCAACACGTTGACGATTCTCGGAGCCCTTCTCCCCGAATGGTTGAGCGTCACCGTCGTTTGGAGCAACCAAAACCAATGGCTTCCTAGAATCGCGATCGTTCACCTCCCCAGAAGGGCCGAAGCTCCTCAACTCAGAAGAAGAACAAAGCCGAAGGAGACGTCACTAAGCCAAGATCCCGACCGAGGATTCCTCCCTGGCGGAACAGAAACAACTGGGGATCAGTCTCCCCCTTACTGTCACCTGTTAGGAGTGACGAGGATGTCCAACACTCACCACTATGTAGGGCCATCAGATAGGCCTCGTTTCCTATCGGGATGGAGAAACCCCTGCCATTGGCAACATACGATGGCACGAACGACCCAGACGGCCACATAGGAAGCATCGACATGATGCTCGACTATCGGAATATGCGGGGAGCCATCAAGTACAGGCTTTTCTCCACTACCCTAAGAAAGGATGTCACGACGTAGTACAAACGCCTCGCACCCAAATCCATCACCTCCTGGGGCGAATTGAAGAGGCAGTTCTCCAGGCACTTCACAGCTTCTCGGTGCCATCCGAAGACAGAGGCAGCCCTAGAAGTTATAATCCAGGTGAAGAACAAACCTCTTTGAGATTTCATAGAGAGGTTCAACCGAGAAGCCGTCCAGGTGTCCACCACGGATGATATGAAGAAATTCCTAATCCACAGAGGCATGCGACCTCACTCCGACTTCGCCAAAACCGTCGGGATCGAACGCCCCCACACCTTGAATGCTCTTCTCCTCAAGGCCCAATCATACATCCAGTATGAAGAGATAAAGGCCTCCAACACCGACCGTGACACGCGGAATCAGGAAGGCCTCAGGGGCACCAGGCATGAGGAAGCTGCTCCTCCATGACGAGTCGGGGAAAGAAAAAAAAGAGAAGACCGACCCGTGAGCAGAAGGGACCAGCGGGCCGATTCACTGAGTACACGTTGCTCACAACTCCTCACGAGCGCATCCTGTTCGAATGTATCAATTAGGAATTTCAGAGGGGCAATGTCCATTTCCCAAAACCGACGCTCCCGAAGCCCAACGTGGACAAATATAAATACTTCTGGTTCCACCAAAGTCATGGACACGTCACGAAGGATTGCATCCAATTCAAGGATTCAATTGAGATCTTAATTAAGGAAGGGCACCTGAAACATTACACCCGGAGAAGTGAGGCTCCCCGACCTAAGACCCGTGAAGCCAAGAGGGTTCAGGAAGTGTTACCATCCTCCAAAGAAGCCGAATTGTAATTCGCCCTGTGTGTCTCCCAGCCAGAGGATTTTCTCCTCCTCAGCGAGCCTGACTGACCACTGTCCGCCCACAGTCCATGGGAGAACTTCCCCTCCACCTTGATCATATCTGGCGGGGGGGCTCAACAAACTCTCAGTCGTGTCGGTCAAGAGGAAGTTCGAGGAATTGATCGACAAGAGCTCGGAGACGAACGCTACCCTCGACAAGTTCAAAGTTCAATCGAACCCGATCACCTTCTATCTCGAGGAAATTCCCAGGGGCGCATCAAATTCCAGCATCTCCTCTTGATCAGGGCTCAGATGGCAAACTTTGACGTGTGCCTAATCCTCGTCGATCAGGGGAGTTCAATGGACATAATGTATGCCCACCTGTTCACAACCCTATAGCTCGACGAGAGCCACCTGACCCCGTATGTCGGGTATGACCTACAGGGCTTCAACGGCACCACCGCCAAGCCTTGGGGATACATGGAATTTCTCGTCACATTCGGGATCGAGGAGACCGTTAGACAGGTGAAGGTCCGATTCTTGGTGATCGAGTGCCCCTCTCTGTACCAGTGCATCCTGGGAAGGCCGAGTTTGGCTGAACTGACCATGGTACCATCAACAGTCCCCTTGAAGATGAATTACTACACGACTAGAGGTAGGGTCGTCACCCTTCACGGGGACATTGAGGTGGTCAGGAGATGTTTCGAGGTAGAATTC